CTAACTATATGGTGTTGGTTACATGTATCTCGTTTCGCCAATCCATTCTATTTAAAGCCATATCCACTATTAAATATTATTGCTTAATTCATTTCTTACTACTTCTACCCATGTCTTTTTTGGTTTGTCCCGAGCTCTTCTAGCCCCTTCAATGTGTAACAACTAACAAATCACTTCTTCAAACTGGCACAGTCAGTGGAGTTACTCTTGTGTTCCTATGGATAACTTCATTCCTAATCATACACTTTCTAGTTTTTCCACTCATCCATCTTAGCATTTGCATTTCTACCACATTCATTTTCTCCACGTGTTTCTTGACTATCCAACATTCTGCTCCATACCACAAAGCTGGCCTTTCAACTGTTTTATAGAAAAAAGGGGCAGTGCTGAAATATGTGTGAAACCAAACCCTTCTAAGATCTTATAAAATAAACAATAATTGATTAGCACCCTTCCTCTTTGGATAAGGTGATTAATCAGTAGGATCTTGTGCAAGACTACTGGCAACATAAAAAGAATACGTAAGAGAAATAAGCATCTTATATCCTTTTCCAAGAGAAACTTTTCCTAGAATCCAATGTGGAATGTCTAAAATAGCTTAAGGGGAAAACTGTCAAGGGAGTCTGCTTTCCATATTTGTGTCACTACTTTTCCTTAAGGAGCTTCTGTTTATGTGTCTACATAGATCAATCATGCGATTTGGCTTCTTGAGCAATTTACATGGCTAGACTGCAGAGCTCCAGAAAATCCTTCCAAAGTGTTCTGTCCCTGCACCAGTTATAAAACCAGAAATGAAAACAGTTGCCTTCTCCTGGGTTACGAGTAATATGTTGGGTAAAAGAATCTCATATCTTCATACTTGATTTGCATACACCAGAACCATAATGGTACATAATTGATCATATTCACCAATTGGGGTGGCCACAAGCCAAGCTCTTCACAAGCTACTCGTGCTTGGCTCGGCTCGGTTTCAATTGAGCTTCGAGCCAAGCTCGAGCCCAATTTACAAGCTTGTTTATTAATCGAGCCAAGCTCGAGCCTAATAAAGCTCGGCTTGTGAGCTCGCGAGTCGAGCTCGAATAGTTATGGGTGATGATGATCATGATCTCATTTTATTACATTCTTTAATTACAAGGGATTTGTCCTAAGAGACTTGTCTCTAGTCACCACATCATGGCAGGTAAGAGGATTTAGCACTCACAGCCACATTTTAGGGAATTCACTTTCACTTCCTTTCTTACTTTTTGGAGCTTATGGAAAAAGTTGAGTAGTTGTGAACCATATTCAGCCAATGTAACAAAAGAAGAAAGAGGAGAAGAAAGAGAGAAGAGAAAAAAGAAAGAAGTTGAGAGAGACAAAAGTTTGGGCTGGCAGCGCCAGTCTTTATATTTTTACTAGGGCGGTCGTACAACTTAAAAGGAAAAAAAAAGGCAAAAGTGCCCTTGCGGCACACATCTAATATTATATTATTCCCCCTCAAGTTGGAGCATAGATGTCAATCATCCTCAACTTGTCACATAGATTATAATGCCGCAAGGAATTCAATCCCTTAGTAAAAACATCTACAAGTTATTCTTCCTAGCTGATGTAAGGGGTGCAAACTTTTCCCTTCTCAAGCTTCTCCCTGATCAAATGCTTGTCAACTTCAATATGTTTGATTCTATCATGGAGAACTGGATTTGCAGCAATACTGATATCTGCTTTGTTATCACAATAGAGTGATAGGATATTTATATAGGAAGCCCAATTCACCTAAAACATTCTTGATCCACAGTAGCTCTGCAACTCCATGTGACATTGCATTATATTCTGCCTCTCCACTTGACCAGGCAACCACACTCTGTTTCTTACTCCTCCAAGTAACAAGGTTTCCTCCTACAAAGGTGTAAAACCACTGGTTTATTTCCTGTCATCTTACAGAGCCAGCCCAATCAGCATCAATGTAAACCTCAACTCTCATGTGACTATATGCTTCTTGAACAATAGGCCTATCCCTGGGAATTTCTTCAGATATCTCAGTACCATGTCTATTGCTTCTAGGTGTGCTACCTTGGGAGCATGCATAAACTGACTAAGGACCCCCACGGCATATGCTATGTTGGGCCTAGTCATAGATAAGTAGACAGTCTACCCACAAGTCTTTGGTACTGCTTTGGATCCTCCAAGAGCACACCACTACAATCCCCAAGTTTGTGATTCACATCTATAGGAGTGTCAGCAGGTTTGGCTCCATATTTTCCTACATCTTTCAAGAGATCTAGGATTTACTTCCTTTGAGAGATTAAGAAACCCTGTTGAGAGCGGGCCACTTCAATTCATGGTCCTAGATCCTTCACTTCAAACTGTGTAGCTAGGAACTTCTTTAACCTTTGTATCTCTGAAACCCAATCACCGGTAATGACAAAATCATCCACATAAACAATCAAAGCTGATGTTTTCCCTTTTTCCTTCTTTAAAAAGAGTGTGTGATCAGATTAGCACTACTTAAATCCCATCTGTTGAACTACCTGGTGAAATCTACTAAACAAAGCCCTTAGTGATTGTTTTAGGCCGTATAAGGAATTCCTTAAGTTGCAGACTTTATGTTCTTTGCCCTTAGCACAAAAACTGAGAGGTTGAATCATGTATACTTCCTCCTCCAAATCCCCATTCAATAAAACATTTTTAATGTCCAACTGATGAAGCTCCCAGTCAAGGTTTGTTGCCAAAGAGACAAGAACACGGATAGAATTCATTTTTGCCACAGGAGCAAAAGTCATAGCATAATCAACCCCATATACCTGTGTAAATCCCTTTGCTACCAATCTAATCTTGTATCTCTCAACAGCGTCGTCTATCTTGTGTTTCACAAAGAACACCCATTTGCACACCACAAGTTTCTTTCCCTCAAGAAGGTCCACCAACTCCCATGTGCCATTTTTGTGTAGGCATTGATTTCTTCCTTCATAGCCTCAGTCCATTCAGGAGCAAGAAGAGCCTCTACAATACATTTAGGGATAGGGACATTATCAATTGCAGAAGTAAAGAAATTAGAGAGGTCACCATGAAAGTACTCCTTCATGGGGTACGTGAAAATCTTCCATACGTTGAAAATCTTTCACAAGCTTAGGAACCTCTTCCCGTGAGTGCATAGGGTACACCCAAGTGTAATGAGAAAAATCATCAATAAAGGAGATAAAGTATTTGTAGCCATGCTTAGTTGGAATATTAACAAGTCCCTAAACATCAAAATACACAATGTGAAAAGGAAATTCAGATCTTTTATTACATAAAGGAAATGAGGTTCTATAGTGCTTGCTTAGTTGGCACACTTGACACTGAAAATAATTGACTAAAACAAAAACAAATCTGGAAATAAGTACTTCAAGGACTTAAAAGACATATGGCTCAAACGATAGTCCCATGAAATGACTTCACTTACACTACCCTAACTCAAAGATCCTGAGACCACAAGGCTAGCTTTATTCTCCAACACATAGAGACCATCAACCATGTTCCCTCTACCAATCGTCCTCCCGTAAGCCATATCCTAAAAAACACAAGAATGGGGAACTTCAATCCGTCATCCACTGATTTCAAGGAGCTGCATTACTCAGTTGCAGTCCAGAAATAGGAACAGGAAGGCAATCGAAGAGTCCTCAAATGAAGATCGCACTTGTCTCTTCCATTCACAGTCTAGAGAACCAAGGAAGGGCTTCGAATAGGAGGGGATTTACAGAGCATTATCCTGCTCTGGTACCATGTTTTTATAAGGAGACTGTGCAACTTAAAAGGAAAAAAAAAAAAAAAACAAAGAAATATTAAATCATGAACTTTGCCACAAGAAACTCCCTATCAAAAAGGTTTAACATGATAGAGGGGTAGCTAGTGGTAAAGCTAGGAATTCCTTTTTTATTTTTTTTTTTTTGTGGTGGTTGGGGGGGGGGGGGGGAGTTATATAACTTTTTTTGCTACAGTAATGAAAAAGTTATATTAAGTCAATTATATTATAGAGGTTTGCAACACAAACAACAAAAGTAGAGTGAGAGAGGGAGGGAGGGCGCTTACAGGGTTACTTTTCCTTTGGTCTGCCTTTTTGGAAAAAATAAGAAAATGAGATAGGGAGTAGAGGAGGTAAGGCTTGGAGAGAAATAGGGTGGAAGGATTTGGGTTTATTATAGATTTCTTTTGAAAGAAATAGTAAACATTTTTTTTTTTTAATTTTGGGAGTTAACTGAAGGGGTTTTAGAGAGTTAAGATAGTAATCTTTAACATTTTAATAGAACTTTCATGTTTTCCACTCCATCCAACCACTCACTAGATGAAATGGTTCTAACAAAAACTTGGGGGGTGGGGGGGCTACTAGCTAATGTGGTGGTCCTCCATATAAATATTCTTATGTGCTGAAGGTGGATGAATTTAGGATCAAGTCAAATATCATCCTTGTTCTTTCTGATTTGTACTTTTGCACATTGTTTGTCCTCACTAACCATTTAAAGAATCGTGATTCTTGGTATTTATCCCTTTTTTGAAATAATTTTTTACCATCCCTTTTTGCAATATCAGGGGGAGAAGAACTTGACCATAAAACAATAAAAAGAAAAATGTCTAGGATATAATTTACCATTTTATGAACTCCACATTCTCAAATCCCAGCAACTTAGAGAAGTTTAGACATGCATTAATACATCTGATCTAGAGTTAGCCATAAATAACCAATAAATAATCAACTCGTCTGCAAATAGTCTACTTGCATAATAAGATAAGAAAAACAGACTTCAATCCATGAATTCTCAAACTGCATGATTTATCACATATTGGTAAACAACCAAGTTGAAAAATTTCAGAAATTCAAAGCATGTTCCTATATTCAGCAACAAATTTGCAGGAAGCTGACTGCTGGTATTCATGCAACTCCCTAGTAAATAAGTCAAGAAATTGCAGATTTCAAATAGAGATTTTATTGTTGAGAATTGAGACAAGTAATTGCAAGGTTTGAAAGAATGATATAGTAGTGATACCTCAAGAATAGGTCCACGATCAGCTCCAAGTAAATGAATTTCATCCAAAACAATGAGCCCAACCTGCAGAACAATTTAAAGTGAAATTAAACATGACCATAAGGAAAGATCAGGGAATTAGAGAAATTCAAAGAAAGACAAGAAAGGATGGATTAAGGGGAAACAAAGATCAAAACAATCAACAGACAAAAAAGAACAGACCTTTGTCACATAACTTCGACTCTGCCAACTACGACTGATACCATCCCATTTCTCAGGAGTAGAAATTATGATATCCGCTGACAATAGTGCCATTAAATCAGGAGTAAAATCCCCAGTCATTTCAACCTGATGGCAACATCATATTAGCGAAGTCATCTCTAAGTATAAATTGTTTCTTCATGACGACAGATTAAGAATAAAGAATACCATCTTTTTCCCAAGTTGAGTAACAAGACGCTTCTTCCAATCATTCATTCTTTCTCGAACAAGGGCCTTCAAAGGTGCAATGTAGATAACCTAAATGAAGAAAATCACTCAATAAGGAACTCATGTAGGTTAATATGTGACCCTCAGTGTTAAATGTGCACCTGAGACCTCAATATGAAAATAGCACACAGGCATGCTTGAAGACACATCAGGATTTAAAATTTAATTTTATGTCAGGAAACTATGGCCATCTATGAGTTTTGGATTTGCACCAGGAAGCAGGGTGAAATAAATAAGTTTGTTTCAAAGTAGCTGGATTGTTGACTCCCTGAATAGCAATCTTGCTATAAGAAAACAAAGCTTTTATGCATGATTTTGCAACACTAACATAATGTTTTCAGAGTCCAAATTTACTCCAGATCAGACCGTTAACACTGTCATCAGCACCAAAAATAACCTCCATAAAAGACCACATATATAGTAGTTGATAAAAGATCAACCACCCCCACCCCCCAAAGAAAACTGAAAAAAAAAAACCTAGAAAGGAGGTTTCAACATCCAACAAATGAAAAAGAATGTTCTCTGACTGCATATGACAAAACAAAGTTTATACCTTCAAATCAGGTTGAGTATTAAAGAGACGAAACATTGCAAGTTCAGCTGAAATAGTTTTTCCACTTCCCGTAGGAGCTCCTAAGAGGACACTGTTGTCTGTGTGATATACAACATGGAATGTCTGCCAAGTTCCAATAAGAAACAGAATGTGTTGTGGTAACTAATACTGGGGAGAGAAAAAAATATAAAAGATTGCCATAATGCTGCAGAATTATTAAGAGAGAGAGAGCTATGATATGTACCTGTGTCTGAATTGGATTGAAGTGCGAAAACTTGTACAAATTTTCATAAGCCTTATTAACAAGTGAAGTCACAGGAAGAGGCTTCAAATCCAACAGTTCAGTATGGGATGTATAAGCCTGAAAAAGCATCAACAACATTTTCCATTAGAGAAACGGAAGCAGATAGACTAAACTACAACTGAAATTATCTCATTACTCTCACCTCTGGCAAGGCAAGATTTTTGAAAGATATAGTGTAAAAAGCTTCTGCATGCAACCAAGAATCAGAAACAGCACGAATGTAGTATTGAGGAGGATGTGGTTCAAATATAGGAACAGTAAAAGAAAGCTTTTGAGGTTCTCCTCTTGCCATCCGCTTTGTCAGTGTGAATAGCTCTGAGTGATAGATATGGTCATTTTCAGAATCCTGCTCCAGAATTCAAAAAAAAAAAAAAAAACAAAAATAGAAAGAAAATCAATAGTCATATTTCAGAAGAACATTGCCATGAAAAGGAAATATTAGCAGAGAATGAATAAGATGGGAATCAAAACAGAAATAAACAAAACATCAATAAAATACATATGAGACAGTACAACCGATCCTCATTTACCCCTTGCTTAGCTTATGAGTCAGTCAATGCAATAGCCTCTCACACCACCCATTGTATAAGCAGGTTCATGTTACCTGTTAACCACATGAATTACTTTAATTCATCCCTATAATGCCAGATAATTGATTTTGGTTCTCTCAGCCAGCCCACTACCACCTTTGAATCACCTTCAATCACCAAATTTTCCAAGTTCAAATCTTGGGCAATCTGAGCCCCTTGTAGAACAGCCTAAAGCTCAGCCCTAATAGAGCCCCCAACACCCAATGGTTCCAAGTATAGTGCCATTACAATACCTTATCTCTTATAACCACTCAAATTCCAAAAGGGCCTGGATTACCTCGTTTTGTTCAATCAAAATTTAACTTTAAAATCCGTCATAAAGAGGTGTCCACACCATGTTTACCCTTATCCATGTGCACTCAGTTGGAAGCCACTGTATGCAAATTTCTCCAAATATCATTAAAGGAAAATTGGCAAAATAAATCCAATGCTCTTAACCTTTGTATGACCCTGGTCATTACACATTCTTTGATTTGTTGCCTGCTCTCTCTCTTGAAAGATTCTTGCTTTCTTTCTTCTCATAAGGTCCAGATCACCGTTACTCTAGTGCACCTATAGATTGTCCTTCCCCTTTTCTACGGCTAAACAAAAGTAGATGGCCAAACAAAGCTTTCAATTGATTGAATGAACAGATTCTGATGGCTTTATTGTGATTATGAGGGTTGGGTGTGTGGTTTTCTTTGGAGGGGGTTATTTGTTATTTCTTCTCTTAGGTGATTATTCCTTGTCACATTTCTCGTAATTTCTTTTTCTTTTAATAACATTTTTATATAACTAAAATAAAAAGATAAATTACAGATCTACCCTTTGTAGGAGGCAGCAATATAAAAGAATGAAAATAAGGGCCTAAGAGGCTCACTACATAGCCAGCTCAAATAACAAATAAGCATAAAGAAGCTCAATAATGAAATAAACTCCTGCAGCCCAAGCAACAAAATCTAATTGAAGTAAATGTACCTTCAAGAAAGTGTATTTTGGTTCTTTAATGAATTCCTTTCCTTTTTAAAATAAAAAAAATCCCTTTCTTGTACTATAAAAAATATTAGGCATACTCTTGTGAGTAAACCCAAATAGATTCTAGGTCAAAGTAGAGAAGAAGAAAGAAGAAAGAAAAGAGAAAGAAGAAGGAGAGAAGAAAAGTATTCGGCCAGACTAGAAGAGAGAATGTAAAATCACACCTCTCCTAGCCGACCCACTTGAATTTATTCAAAATACTTAGAGTTACAAGAAAGACTATTTTGTCCCTCATAGACGATGGGACACATAACTTTAACTCAGATACAAATGACCTTTCTCTTTCAAGAAGATAAACCAGAATGACCAAAATACCCCTGACTGGAGCATTCTAACACTCCCCCTCAAGCTGGAGAGTATATATCATATAATCCCAGCTTGTTACAAATGTAATCTATTCTTCCCTGAGACAATCCCTTTGTGAAGAGATCTGCCCACTGATTTCCTGAGCTCACATGAGATGTAGTTATTACCCCACTTATCACTTTCTCTCTCACAAAGTAACAATCCACCTCAATATGTTTAGTTCTTTCATGGAAGACGGGATTGGATGAGATGTGAACAGCAGCTTGGTTATCACAGTATAGTTTC